TCTATTCGTTCTGAAAAAAACCCGGATTACAGGAGAATGCAAAAACAGCAACTTATCGCAGTCATCGTGACAGTGTTACTGCAAATTTTCCATTCAACTTTAGCTATCGACTACAAAAAAGGTAAATTTTTTCCATTATAGTAACCAATATTGCTTCCTGTTTTTTATAGCTCCAATTTCCACAGTTTACCGTTGGACTTCTCAAACAGCTGTCAATACGCTTTACAAAATCCTTCTTATTTTTGCAAGTGAATAAAAATTTTTAGAAACCAGTTTAATTTTAAAAGTGGCAAGGATCAGAAAACGCCTTAATATAAGACGGCTAATTTGACCGAAAAGTTAGACGGTCTGAGAATAAAATTCTTATAGATCATAAGTGAAGATACGCTTGAAATTCATTTTAGATTACCACCAGATTCAAGCTGCTGCTAATACTACGATAGAGCTTCATTGTGTAAGTCCAGAAAATTACCTAGTATATACGATAGCGAAAAACGAAAACATTTCCGAGAGCGAATTTTGTATTATACACAGGGATGGAACGCTTAGTGTTATCTTACATATCCATCAAGAATCAAACTTTGCAGACAATTACACCTGTGAAAATGAAGAGCAGATGTCATTGCCAATTAGGATTAATGTAACAAGTAAGACGTACATTTTATTATGCTTTTAAACATCGGATTTATTTCAGCGACTCTAAACTTACACTTCTATTATTAAAAAGATATGGTAAAAAAATAAAATATATTCAAAGATTATTTGTTACATTAACAGTACACACCTTCATCATATGACTACTTAAAACGTTACTATTCTTTACTCCAGGTATTTATTAAACTAGTCAGCGTAAATAAAGCATACGTTTAGGTGCGACAACAAACAGGTTACCAGAAAAAACTTATGTTTCCGAATCCAAAGCTGCTGAAAGTGGCTGCTACCCAAACAGCACAGTGAGCCTCGCGATCAAGAAAAATAATCAAGCTTTCTGTAAAATATGTGTTCCAGTAAGTTACTTCATCAGCACAATTACTACTGCTCACTTAATTGCAATTTTCTTATATAACTTAAAATTCAATAAAGACAGTGAGGTGCCCCCGAACAAAGAAAAAAATTTTTAAAGGTAATAGAAGTTTTAAAGCTATGAGCTGGGTTGGTTTAATAAAACTACAGAAGTGTGTTTTCAATGTAACGTATCAAAAGTTCTTTTTAAAATAAGAAACAGTCATTTTCAGCTGCCAGCTTCAGGTGGTTCAATCCCATACGCTCAAATAACGTGTGTAATTTTTATTATCCTTTTATTAATGGCCGTTTTTGTCATTGGATTCATCTACGTTCGACGACGAAGCAACGAAATCAAACAGTTGTGTGAACTGTACGAAGAACTGACAACAAATGAGCATGCAAAAAACTTTGTTGAACCGCCTAATGTACCGCTGCATCAACTGGTTGATGAACTCCCGTACGACTTAAGCTACGAAATACGGGTGAATAGACTTAAAATCAGAAAGGTATACTAACTTTTTATCTCTTCAAATCCCTCAATAACTAACTCTTACTAAGCTTGACTGATATGCTATAAACGGCAGAACTGAACGCTTTTTACAGATAGAAGCTCACAGTCAATCAACTGTTTTTTAAAGGTAATTAGCGACGGCAGTTATGGGCGTATTTATGCTGGCGATCTACGTTCAAAAGCGCCTCGTAAGGAATACCTTCATGTCGTGGTAAAAGTACCGAAAAGATCAGCCAAATACGCAGATATCAAAGCCCTTGCTGACGAACTAAAAATACTAATGAAAATCGGTATGCATCCCAACATCGTTTGCCTTGTCGGAACAATAACTGAAAACCTCAAAAGGTTCTTTATACTTTTTTCCTTTGGAAACTTTTATTCTCATGTTTTCTAAAAAGTTTCAAAGCTTTTTTTAAATCAAGAATTGTCCTAGAACTTGTCTTAAAACTTTAAGTTGCCTAGCAGCAACCTTCGCAACAAAGTGTACCATCTACGTGACATTAACTCCCGCTTTACTTTTTCCAATATTAGATTATTCATCCTCATCAAAATTCATCTTAAATTCTTTTGAATTTCATTGTCACAACTAGATGGTTATCAATAATGTGCTTGTAATTTACAACACTAAATCAGTCCAAGTACCCGAAACCATTCCATTCCTCCTTTTAACAACGTATCATACATTAATACTCTTATTTCTGTAACGAAAAAAAAAAAA